CGAACTTTTAACTTTCAAACTGTGCCCCTGAGCAGGACATCCTAAGATCTTAGCCATCAGGAAAGTTAAAAGTTCGCCAGGCTGTGCCCCTGAGCAGGACATCCTAAGATGTTCCTAATATAATATTAACAGTTCACAGACTTTGCGAACGTTTAACGTTCAGGCTGTGCTCCTGAGCAGGACATCCTAAGATTTTCCCCACTGTGAAATTGAAAGCCTTTGTTGCTCAGCTCTTTAGGTCGTCTTAGCACTAGGTGGATAATGCAGTGACTATCTCTACAGTGGTAACGCAATCATGAAGCAACTGAACTTGCGCTCACCCGAGCTCAGTTCCAAGTGTAAAGGTCTACTTGCAGTATCACTGGAGTTACCAAACTGATAGAGCTCTTGCAAGCATGGATCTAAGTGTGTGTGTGTGTGTTTGTTTTCCCTTGGGGGGTAGGCTCATGTCTCAAGTTGTGTTTGTCAGGCAAGCCTTTGGTTTCCTATGTCCGTTTCAGGCCCCTCATTCTCATCTTAAAAAAAGGCATAGTCAGTTGGCAAGTGTGTGCGTTCTAAACATGGCAACTGCTGCAAGCATCCCCTGACTCGCTTGCTCGTTTCTGTGCACTCATAAAAGCAGTATTTTCATGTCGCTGGACGCTGTCCCAAGGTCCAAGGTCTACAATTTCCTTGGAATCACGTCTTGCTTTCGACTTTCAACAACACCACCAAGCACCTCTTCTCAAAAAGATGTCAACATCAGAACTTGAATCAGGGATCAGCAAAATCTCAAAACATTACAGGCTAGGCTAACATGATCCCATATGTCACGTAACCTTGAACCGCAAGCAAGGTCTGACACAATTCCATGTGGCGTTTTGTGACAGCTGTCATTGGCATGTCACTTCAAGCCACGTGACTAGCAATGAGATGCAATAGAATTCACAAGTTCCTCTCTGCTTCCCAACGCATTTGGATCATCCGGAATAACCTGGTTTGACTTCAACCACCCAGTCCGTGTCCACCGTCCCGTCCCCACAACAAAAAGAACACACACTAAATCATGACAATGCCAGGCCATGCAAACTGAAGGCTAAGGGCGGATAAGGTTTGTTGCCCAGAAACTGTTGAATGCACATGTTTCCATCTGACTGCCTCCATGTTCTCACCCTCATTCTGCTTCAAGGAAAAACCTGACCAGAGGCGTGGCAGAGGCGTTCACACTTCACAGTTTGGTTGTCGGTCCATGTGTTACTGGCAACTGGCCTTGCAACACCCAATAAAGAAGACGTCTTATGATAAGGTCATTGTCTTCCTCACCATGGCCCTGCATACTCTTGGTGCAGCTTCTGTGAGAAGCAGTGTGGAGTGGGCACCACACATACCAACTTGGAACCTTGCACTGGACGGAATCAAATCCAACTGAATTTAAGTCAAGCCAAAAACATAGACATAAATAAATACTACAATTTGTGCAATGTCAATTCAATTCCACAATTTCAATCTTCTAGCAAACTGAGATGTAGACCTGATGGTCTCCTCTTCTTACCACTGCAATACAACCCGCCCACACTGTAGACAAGCTCCACATTGATGTGGCAACTGGAACTGGAGTTCCACTGGCTGCGGCTGTGTTGCCACTGGACCTGGGCCTGGGTCGAGGTTTCGACGGCTCAGGTTCAAGTGTGGGTTCTGCGTTGGTGTGTTGATCTTCATCTGATTGAAGAGGAGTATGGGTCTCCATTTGATCATCTCCATCACCATCCCTGTTGTTGCTGCTATCACTGCTGTCATTGCAGGTGTTTAAGCTGTCCATGTCCATGTTGTCACTATGAACGCTGTCTGAGTGTGCCTCTACAGCTGAACGGCCCTGCCCCCTACGCCCACGTCCACGTGCTCTTCCTGCTCTACGGCCACGTGCTTGCCCGCAACCACGACCACGTCTACGCGCAACAACACCTGTCAGAGCCAAAGCAAAACTAATGTGAATTGTTTATAAGCAATTAGCAACAAAAGTACAGTATATAATATATTGAGGTTGAATTGACAACTCAACCAGTCAACCAACAACTATGAATCCGGCGCTAGTCGTTTGAAATGCAAGCGCAGTTGCAGTGTGACGGTCAGCAGTGAGTTTTATCTATGCTACTGTTACTGCTGAAATAGTAAATGTACAGCGAAGATCAGTGAATGTCAACATATATCACTGCTGACCAGTCAGTACTAGTTTTGATGTGATTGACACCAATTCACTACTTGCCTTGTTCAGTATCCATGTCCGGATCAGGCGCTAGACAGGATGCCTTTCGCTTTCTGTTTTGCAGGAACAGCTTGTAGTAGGCCAGCGGCTGCCACGGCTTTATGGTGTTCATTTTCTGACCATCTGACTTCACACTCAAAAGTGCGGAATAGTAACCACTCCTTGAAAATGGTAAATTTGTCTCAAACCAGCAGCAAACATTGACTCGGATTGCAACAGTATTCGGAGGTACCTCTTGTCAATGGCCTTGTGAAAGAACCATTGCTTGGAGCTGCCTTGTGTGTATGGAGGAGTTTTCTTGGACTTTGATTGCTGGCAGTAAGTCCAACCAGCTCTGGATAGTTCGAGAATGAGTTCAAACACTGGAAATTGGTTGATGTCATGCTGCTTGTTTTCGCTTGGATCATGTAGTCT